AAGGCCATTTATAACGCAATGTCATCTCGCTACAGTTGATCACTTGTAGAGGAAATCCTAGCCAGGTTTTTGAACATGTGTTCCTTTCACACCTTCCTCTGTAAATCTTGAATTTTAGGAAAATATCCACAACACATACAGCATTTGCAAATGTTGGTATTTGACAGCAAAAACAGATATTTTTGTATTTAAACCTGTCGATGGATGATATTTTGCCTCAGTGCTCACTTAAAATCATACCATATTTATGCTCAAAGTATTTGGGGGGCTTTATGCATTCATTTGAAAGTGGACAATAGAGAGGTGAGAGTAAATAGTGGGAGAGAGAGAGAAAACAACATGCAACAAAGGTCCCCAGCCTTCAAAACAACTGCAGCGGTTATACATTTCCTGTTTTGTTACGTTTACCTTGAACTTTTATTGTCTGCAGAGTGGATTTGGCAATCATCCCATTGAGTGACAATAAAACTCTCCAATTCATAAAATTCAGAGAAATAACATTTTATTGAAAGCTTATCATGATGTTGTTTTATTTAGATGTGGTCATGGAAGAAACTAACATTGGTGGTCTAAGAGATGACAAACTGAACTAATAGTTTAGAAAAGGCCAAAATGAACATGATAAATCGGTCAGTGGACACTATAGTTTTAGTTTTCATTGCACCAGACTTCAAAGAATGCATTGTTTACTCTGCAGGCAAGTGGCCCATCGACCAAAAACAGAAAACCTCCAAGCAAACCAGCAGCATCAAGCGGAGGAGGTGCTAAAAAAGGTGGAGAGGGGAAGAAGAACGGGAAGCAGGCAGGCAACGGAGAAGTAGCGGAGGACGACCCGGCCGGCGCCAGCGGCACGCCCAAGAAAGGAGCAAAAGACACCAGCAGGAAGAGGAAAACAGAGGAGAGCTCACCTGCTCTGCCAGCAGCCAATCAGGAGAGCCCTGTGTGTGTGAAGAGAGCCAAGACGGCTAAAGACAACAACAGGGACCTGGGATTATGCAGGTATGTGCCCCTGGCTTGTTCAAACTCGTCTTTCTATTGAATCCTTCACTTACCTATCTCCTTCTCCTAAACACTTTTACAGTTGCTGCCATCTACTGTAGGACAGTATCAAGAGGTTGTTTTCTCTTAATCAGTAAATAAGATTCCTCTGTGGTTTAACCCCTTTAAATGTAAGGTCCTCTTGTAACAAATCCAATTTAGCCTTTTCTATTATCATATTAAAAGTTGTATTTTTTCAGCACAAAGGAATTTTTATTTCGTGATGGTTGGTATTGGCTTATAAAAACACACATTACTAAAGACCTTACATCAAACTTTAAACATCCCCTAATTATTTATTTTGTGTCAGCTTGGGGGCAACAGAAACAAGCTGCAAACACAAAACTGACATTATCAAAAGAAGAAGGGGGTCCAAGAGGCCATTAATAATATTGATTATAACCGATTTAAAGGACCAGTGTGTAGGATTCAGGGTGATTTGTTGGCACAAATGGAAAATATTAGTCATAACTATGTTCACATTAGTGCATAATGACCAGAAACGTCCGCCGTGTTACACAGCCATGTTTCTACAGTAGCCCATAACTGACAAACCAAACACTCTAGAGGGGGCCTTTACGTTCACGTTTCACGTCTTTACGTTACTATGCACGGTTATTCAGTTGGTTGCAATCTGCAACCTCACCACTAGATACCACTAAATCCTACACACTGCTCCTTTCAAGGAAGAAAACATTCTAAAGTTCACAGTGGAAGAAAGCTCCTCAGTGTGATACCCACAGCTTTTTCCCTGTGTCTAACCATATGCGTGTATATGTGTCTGTGTTTGTGTGTTCAACAGGGTGCTCCTTGCTGAGTTGGAGCGGCATCAGGATGCATGGCCTTTTCTCACACCCGTCAACCTGAAGTCGGTCCCCGGCTACAGGAAGGTCGTCAAGAAATCGATGGACTTCTCCACCATACGTGAGAAGCTTGTGAGCAGCCAGTAAGTTCCCACCGCCTCTGTTTGTTCTTTGTTCACCGAAAGCTTTCAGGACATTTGTACAGAATTTAAAGAAGTCAGCCTGGTGTTTTGTCAGAAAACAAGTTTTAGTTACACCACAGTATGTGATCTCAACTCAAGACTTTCCTCTTTTTTTTATTTATTTCAGGTATCAAAACCTTGAGACCTTCATCATTGATGTCAACTTGGTCTTTGATAACTGCGAAAAATTCAATGAAGACAATTCCGACATTGGTCGAGCTGGTCATAACATGAGGAAGTTCTTTGAGAAGCGCTGGACTGAGCTTCTGAAACAAACAAACTAAAAGGTCTGTTCAGATTCTCTCCATAAACCCATTCAACTTTTCATACCGGAGCACCAGGTTTTACGTGTTTTTATTTTTCTGATGGAGAATGTGGCTTTGCAGGATGGAAGAAGTCAAATCCGTAATAAGGAACCCATGGTGTGCATAAGATAAGATGTCACCTATGGGGAGACAAAAAAAAAAAAAAAAAAGTCGTTACATGAGGTGCGCTGGATTTTATTACAACAGGGATAAAAGCCCCAAAGAGTCCCATAGAAATGGGGTGTCGTAGTGCAATACCATTCCCTGTCTCAGAACACTGCACTGAATTAATCCTCAACTGTCACTGGTGTGTCTGCGCTAGAAGACTTTCCACTACTTGTAAATAGTCTTTTGTTATTTAATCGTATTATAGTGAATGTATTTAATTTTGTAATAATTATTTATGAATCAAGGTCCACTTCATTTTCTATGAAAAGGAAGAATCAGCTGAACTGCTTTGAATTAAAAAAGGAATGTGTCTTTGTGTTATAATTTTTCTCCCAAATATTAAACAAAGCCAAGAAAAAAAAAAAACCTGTTTACACTGTTCAGTGCTTTGGGGCATCAGAGGACTGTATTCATTTGTTCAAACTGTAAAACTGCATTTATTTACAGAAACAGCAGACGGACAGTTAGACAATGGTGATTCATGTGTATATACTGTTTATTAATGTCAATATTATGTCTTGTTTGGAACGATGTGTAAAAATTGTTTAAGAATATTAAGATATTGTTTATGCCTTAGAATGATTGTAGCATTCTATTTTAGTGAACGTGATGAAAACATTATCATAAATATTGTTTGTACAGTATATACATATCCTCTGCAAACACTGTGGTATCCTTAATCTTGGTAGTGCCTACCCTTCCAACAGGGGCATGTAGGGGATGTTATTGTTTTTTAGTTTTCATTCTTATGACAACATCAGTTTTTTATTAAATATGATTTCAATCCAACAAGGCCTCCAAAGTTGGACAGTGACACAGAAATCATTCCTCACCATAGCAGAAAAAAAAGGAACAACAAGCATTCAGTTATGCTTCCATGATGCATTTCCTCGTAATCTGCCACAATACAGAGGACCTAAGGCCATTTGTAACCACTGTGTTGAACCTTGCTGTGTGTTGTGGCCTGATGGAGGCAGCTAGATTTTTTTGTACCCAAGTCAAGAGTACTTGAAGTTACTTTATTTAAGATATTGTGGAATAAAAGTATCATTCTTTTGTAGGAGCTTTATTTTTCACTAGTGTGTGGCACGGACCTATTAAAAGGATGTTTTTCAACGTAAATGACTTCAACTTGTTTTATTTCAATTCTATCCTGCAGAATGTTTTTTGGCAAAAGCCATTGTGTTAGATGTGTGAATTAATCCCTTATATTCTTTATAGAGGCTGAACAGTTTGGAGAAAGTTCATTTACTACCTTACTAACAAATACCTCAGTCATGCAATGCTATCAAAAACATAAAAACCTCATCAAGATCTTGTGCTCGATCAGTCTGACAAATTCTGGTGGCAATAACAAAAAATGCATAAAGTAAGTTGTGGAAGAAGTGTTTAGATAATTTAAACTAGCAATACCACACTGGGCAATTCTCCATTACAGGTTAAAGTCCTGCATATGTAGTTTTAGTTCACATAGAGGGAAACCGATTGGAAAGAAAATCTACTTTTCACTCAGAATGGCCCTTGTCTGTGTCATATTTAATGCATTAACATGCATTTTAATGTTGTAGCTTGTTGAGGTGGAGCTAACTCTAACTACTTTATATACTCGTATTTTGTCTATAGCTGTTTACCGGTCTTAACCTGAAATGTAACCAGTAACCAGACTGTTAATTAAATTTAATTCAAATAAAGTAAAAAGTCTTTTTTTTCCATTTGAACTGTAGTAGAAGAATTAAGAAAAATAAAAGGGACATACGAATTGGACACCTCAGCAATGCCTGACATAGGGTACACTCACTATGTTGAATGAATTATGCAAATGAATACTCAACATGCACATTGATGAATTGTGGGTAATCACTGTGCTAAAAGGGCATCAGGTTTTTACAACAACTGTCTTTACAAAATACACACATAATACAGTTTCCAAAGGATTCCAAATGGCCATCATCAACCACTTAAAGTCCTCAGAAGTACTCAGATATTTTATGGAGCAATACCCCAGTGTAGAAATACTCTGTAATTACTAGTAACAGTCCTATATTCAAAACTTACTTCAGCAAAAGCACAAAAGTATTTTGCTCAAAGTATGATTTAACTACCAAAAGTAAAAGAACACATTATGCAGTATGGCATATTTTAGAATAATGTATGTTGTATAACTGGATTATTCATGAATTAATGTGTACTTTGCTTTAATATTGCTGCTCTAAAGGGCTAGTTTCAACTACTTCATACACTACTCCTACTACAGTATCTTGTGCATTTCCCCCCCTACCTTCCCTTTGTTTTGAAGTATAATAATACGTCATATTTTATTTGTTGAATCTATTTGTATTATTAATCTGCAAAGCAACTAGTAACACACATGATCAATAAATGCAGTGGAAGACGTAAAATATGTCCTAATTTTAGTGGAGTAGAATTAGCAGATAATGGGAATACTCAAATGTGCTCGCCACTTAGTCCTGACTTCCGGGTGACGTAACCGGCCTCACGTCACGGTCAGCTGTTCGATGAGGAAGTAAACAACATTGAACTGAAGGGACAACAGGACGGAGACAGGTAAGGTACGCTGCTGTAGTTAGACGCATCTTACGTTTCTATTAGAGTCATTAGCCGTCTGAGTTTGCTTGTTGGGATGTTTATTGTCACAGTGTGTTTCCCGCTTCTGAATAATACTTGACTTTATAACATGAAGTTGCATCTCGGCTGTGCTACTGCAACTGTTAGCTTGAGGTGTTAGCTTAAACGTTAGCCACAGTCTCCACAGCAACAGCGTCCCTGTGGGTTTCCTGTCTTTTGTCTGCTGGTTGTTCGTGGTCTGTTGGTGAGGTGGTTTGACAGCCATACAAATGTTTATTTCATAGACCTAATAAACAAGGATAACGATATGTATTTGTATTGTTTCCTGGTGTGTTCAATATGAATGAGCCGAGCAGTGAGTTCCTCAAAAGGTTCCTAGTCCCTGTGGTAGAAAAAGGATCGTTTACAGAGGTGGAAAGTAACTAAGTAACGTTATATTTAAGTGCAATTTTGAGATAATTGTACCTTACTTGAGTGTTCGCCTTTTCTGCTGCTTTATGCTTGTACTCCACTGCATTTCAAAAGGGAACATTGTACTTTTTAAACCACTACTTTTTTATGATATTTATATAAATAAATGATGATGTATTCATTTTTAGCCTAAAATAAATTCACAAGCTATAGTAGTGTTTATTGTAGTTCAAACTGTCCCTTTACCAGCTGCCATATTAAAGCAATGTACACATTAAATCATCAATAATTAAATCCAGTAATATATAATAATATGTACATGACTCTGAAATAATAGTTGCTATTAGCAAGTATATTTGATGCTAATACAACACTCAAGTGATGTACACATTAGTGCATCATGTATTATAATTGAAATGGGCCCTTCTGCATATTTTTGACTTCTCTCATTCCTCTCTGTGTGAACTTCAGGACCGGCTCTACAAATGACATCTCTGATTTGCACTTTACAAGACCATCGAGATGATGTCAACTGGTGTGCCTTCTCTGGCAGTCTGTTTGCCACATGCTCCGGGGACAAAACCCTCAGGATGTACAACACCCGCGACTTCTCCGAGCTGCCCTTCTCACCGCTGTCAGGACATGGATACGGCGTCCACTGCTGTTGCTTCAGCGCCTGCGGACAGTTCTTGGCCTCATGTTCGACCGATGCCACCACAATGGTTTGGTCCACCGTCACGGGTGAGATCGAGGCCGTCCTGCAGCATCCTGGTCGTAGTCCAGTGAGGATCTGCGCGCTCTCTCTTGACTCTGCCCACCTGGTTTCTGGAGCATCCGATGGCACTTTGGCTCTGTGGGATTTCCGCTCCAAACAGCTGCGCAGGTACATTTGACACATTTTTCTAGAGCTGAAACAACAGTCGATCAACAGAAAATGAATTTGCGTAGGTTTGGTTTGCTAATTCACTATGTTTTGACATTTTATGGACTTAATGATTTATAGATTCATTGGAAAAAGCATTCAGAAGAATAAATGATAATGAAGATACATTGGTAATTGCAGGTCCATTCATACAGATATACAACATAGTACAAGTCTCTCTCATATCTTGACAAAGAGAGCTGAACGCTCAGTGCTAACAACTCTCCTCACACCACTGTTTGCAGTTGCATGACTTAATATTTGCACTTTCCTGCCAGCAACCAGTCCCATGTGTTACTGTCCTCGAACAATGGCAATAAAAGATGTGCCTGCTGATGCAGCTGCTTGTCGGTTGTGTTTGTGAAGGACCGGAGCAGTGAGCGACACGACAATGGTAGCCTGCTCCTTCAGCCCCTGCAGTCAGGTGTTCATGACCGGCTCCACCTACGGAGACCTGCGTCTGTGGGACCTGGACATGAACCAGCTCCATGCGGAGAAAAACGCCCACGACCTGGGGGTCACCTGCTGCACCTTCGCTCCCAGCATCCTCAGTGGTGATGACCATTGCTGCGTGTTTATCTTCTACTCTGTGACACACGCTGCTGAGTCTGGTGTTTCTGGCAGCATTTGGGAGTAAAGATATCATAAAATACACTTTTTCTTTTCTTATAAACTCCAGTATTTTTGGCCAGAATCCATCAAATAAGATTATCAATAAGATATGTACAGAGGCATGATATGATAACAATGAAACATTTGATCAAATATGAAACTCAATATGAGATACGTTAACATTTCATTTTGACCAGTTATTTACTGGAAATTAAATTCATATTTATAACTATAAATATGCTAATATTAAACTATGATTAATAAAATGACCTATAAAATGCGGCAATTTCCTTTTTCATATCTGCCAACATATACTGATATCCCTACATCTCTAATAAGCCAGTTTTGGCTGATAATATCAGTTGGGTTTCAATTAAAATATGCATGTCTCCTAGTTACAGTACATACTGTCACATTCTTATACCAAATCCCTTTATAGAAGATGAAGATGGTAATATATATTTCACTGTGAGGGACAACAACATCCACAGACTGATTGTTGTGTGTGACAGATTGAATGTAGTCTGTGACTTGTTTAGTATCACACAGTATTATTTGTTCGTTTTTGTCTTTTTAGGCGGTCAAGTCGTGCAGTTCCGTCTGGCGTCCTGTGGGCAAGACAGTCTCCTGAAGATCTGGACCATTAACAAGTTCATCTCTGGAGGTAGAGGGACATATCTTTACCTATCTTTGCATACCGGAAGATTTCTCTCTAGCTGGTGTGATCGTTTCAGTCGTAGCTTCAGCCGCCGATCAGCTCAGATTGTAAACCTCGCTGATGTGTGCACTTTCAGCGTCAGTATATCAAGACAAAATCACTGGTGCTGCCAAATACAACTACATTTTATTTGAAAGTAACCCAGAGTAGCTGCCAGAGTTGGTCATGCTGCTAAGTGCTTATGTGTGCACAGATTTAGCATATTGCATTTTCTCAAATTTCTACATTTAACAGCTCCCCTTCTATTTCCTTTCTGCTATTAGTGACTAATTTGTGACACCTTTCTCCACCACCTGTAATACGGCCTGTGTGTGTGTGTATGTGTGTGTGTGTAACTATAGCTGTTGTTTCTCTCTCTCGTAGGCTATAAGATGCAGCTCCTGCACACGTTAACTGGCCAGTCGGCCCCGGTCCTCTCCTGTGCCTACTCCTCAGATGGGCAGCTGCTTGTGTCTGGGTAGGATCTTTAAGAGGCTTTTAGCGAAGCGTATTGGTGACTTTGGATGTTTTTAGCCTCTTAATACAGATTATATATACTTAATACATTTCTGACAACCATTTTCCAAAGCTGCTTTTTAAACAGATTTTAGCCAATGTTTTCAGTCTGGCCCTGTGCAAACAACATCACACAATATTAACGAAACTAATTCCGACAAAACAAGCAGACAGAATGCTGAAGTATTGTCTACTTCAAGCAAGTTTCACATACATTTTAAACCAATGGCTACCTTGAATATAATAAAACATCTCAAATATTTTGGTATACATTTTGAGAAACGGTCAGCAGTTGAGTAAATTGTGTTTGATGGGCCTTTAACAGACACATTTTGATCATTTCTGACTGCTGGAATTTCAACCTCTTGATCTTGAATTGATCAATATTCATGTCTGGATCTATTTAGGATCAAGAGATTGATGTACAATATAGATTATTTGCCTGGATTTAACAGCAGGCCACCAGACACAACTATAAGAGTGCAATACTACAGTGGAACCACTGAAGGGAGACATGGATTGCTTTATTCCTCAGTGAGTGAATGTGGACCTGAACATGATGCACGAGATAGTCATTATTGTTATTTAAAATATTGCTCACACAGTTACAGTTTTATCTTTTTTTCCTTCAGCTCTGTGGACAAAACTGTCACAGTCTATGATGCTGTAAGTTCCTCTCATTTTGATTCATTTACCAGGTAGTACCAGGTTATGTTATAAACGACTCCATTCACAACACAATGTTCGTATATTGTTTTGTCTGTTTGCAGAAGAATGCAGTTTTGCTTTACACACTGAACCAGCACGAGAGGTAAATACTCACTTATGTTGACGTGGTTACGTTTTCTTGAGTGGATTTTCTCATTGAATATAAGCATGAAGTCCCGGATAAATACATTCATTTCTCTCTCATCTTGCCAGACGGAATATCTTATCTATAGTTTTGTATTATATACTCTTATATAATCTTTCATATGTTTATATCTTGACTACATCTTATATTGAGATGTTGTGGTTATTCAAGAACAATATGTTAAATTTGAATTTAAGAAACATTTGATCAAAATTATGTTTGTGTTTTTTGGGTACAACACTAAATTAAACATGTATGCTCATCCACTGCAAGATGCTTTGCAATGCATTTCTGGAATTCTTTTGTTTTTTTAAGACAAATTAACAAATATGATGAGACATCACATTGAGATATTTCCAAACTGGTTTTATTAGGTATTGATGCCACAAATTGTTCAGTTATATAAAACATCAGAAGTAAACGTCAGATTTCGACATTTGACCACTCGTTTACAACAATATCTCACTTGTAGGGAAAGCAGCACCTTTTGATATATTATAACCCAGTGTGGTCACAAAACATGCATTTATCACTTTTAGGAAAAGGTATGTCTGCTGTCGCTGCGTCTCTTCCCCGACACATACACGTACCCATAAGCCACAGCTGTATGATCACACTTACAAGCTATTTAAGTCCACCCAGCCACCTGTGGATGAAAGGCAAAAAGCTCACTTCCTTTCAGCGGGGCAAATGTAAGTCCTTTTGGAAAACCACTATCTGAAGTGGAAGTAGATGAGGCAAGTTGAGAGAAAGTGGATAAATGGCAAAAAAGAAAAAGTAAATCACAACTTGACGAAATGCCTCCAGGAAACTCATTCGACTTTAGACCAAGTGATAATATAACAGTGTTTGGTTCCTTTCTCCAAGTTCTCATCGGAGGTTTTTAAAGACATTGATTGAAGTCAACTGGCTTTTGTGGATCAAATTTTTGGGCAATCCAGCATAAGTCTCGGAGAGATTGTCCTCATTAACGCTGCTTTGACTTTCTTGAATCTCCTGAAAATGTCATTTTAATCCTTATTTAGATCTTTAGTGCAGCCTTTTATGTGGTAAGCGTCACTGAATTGGCTCTCTGATGGAGAGCCTTTGCATATATTGCACATATTTAGGTCTGGTATTGAACCTTAGTGCCCACCTTTTAACCCTGTAAAAGCCAAACTGCAGCCTCAGATCCTCAGGCAGCTTTACAGCTGCTGCGAGGCTCAGGACTAAGATTTGGGGGTTTTGGCTTCAGTTTCTGAATGCTTTGAATATACCTGCTTGAGGATCAGATGCTCACAGAATCACTATTATCTTTAAAGTTACTCCTTGCAACTTACTTTTACATTTCCCGCTTCAGTTTCCTCTCAAGACTTTTTAACTGATACTAGTGCAAAGAAGGACATGCAGACAGACTTGTTCCATTTTAGATTAGACATTAAGACTAAGATATTTCCTTTGATTGGTAAATGTCTATGGAAACAATTCTAGTCCTTTTGCTCATTTGTTCTGTCATTATACAGAGAAAGTTACACCTCATTGTTAACATTCAGCTGATTACTGTCCTCTGTTGCAGATACGTGACGGCATGTTGCTTCTCTCCAACTTCACCAATTATCGCTACAGGATCTATGGATAAGACTGTAAACATCTGGAGGCTGGAGGATGGGTGCAGTGACCATGGTGGGAAACACACACACACACACACAATCACTCCAATAGACTAACATCTATATTTTGATGATTTGTTTTGTCGTGTAATCAATTTGTTTTGTCTTTCTCCTTTATTGAACCTGTGTCCAATGGAAAGGTGGGAAGTCATTACCTGGTTAGTTTTATTTTTACATTTTAAATGTTAATTAATTTTTACACTTGAAGGAGAGGAGCTGGTTTTACAATTCCAAATGTACGTTCCTACTTGAATCTTAAGCAGAGTTGCTTAGCTATTATTTTGTCCCTGTGTTTAGATGTCATGTAATAAACTGGTTTCGCCTTGCGTTGAAAGACACACAGGTGTCGTGTACAAGAGGGCTTTCTTTTCCTTAATCACTCTTCAGTCTCAAGTTTGCTGAAAGATTGCATCGCATTGCTCATGTTTACAGTCCCTTATTCCTTTGTGTGTGTTCTAGACGGGTCTGATCTGACATCAAGTGAAGGTAGGAAGCAAGAAAATATATTCCTTTCTGTATAGTGCCTAACACTGGGGTGCCTGTAATCAGTAAAAATCCTTAAATGAGACACCACCCCCATGCAATATGTGCACAAAACAATAACATAATGCTGTCATAATTGGGAATGGATAATAAACAAGCTCTTTTTCAGCTTTTAGTTTCATCTTGTGTCAATGAACCCTCCAGACATTAATCGATACCTTTCTGTACACAAGACGGGCTAGGCACAAGCCCCCCCCCTGATCAATAATTAGTCAGCAGGATTCCAGGAGAGTGTTGCATGGAGAGCATTTGGCCATTTTTCAAAAGGCGCTGCAGCGGACAAAGACTGAGTGTCTCGCATTGACTCCCCCTCTCAGAGAGAACCTCAGCGGGTCGATCCAAGCTGCTGGTCGGCGATTGGTCGGAGGGGGATGTGTCCGCGTGGCTGGTGGAGGAAGGCCTCGAGGGCTTGGTGGACAAATTCAGGGCCAACAACATAGATGGGACAGAGCTGCTCGGTCTCACCAAGGAAACACTGGCGTCAGAGCTGCACATAGGTGAGGAAGACGTACATCACACACTGCTCAGCGGGTGCAATGCCGCTTCAACAGCCTCTCGGTCTGTCATAGTCATAATGCTCGCTTCTGCCCCCAATGTAAGAATATAAACCCAGTCTTATGGGTATTGACTTCAATCTGGAGCACTTCATCAGTTACATAACCCAATCCCCAAAACAGTATTTCCCATAAGGTATGAAGTGGATTTACACCTAATATCATGAGGGCTTCTTGTTTTTTTCCATGTCTGAAATGAGGAAGTTTTAGCTTATCAGACTTTATCTGGCCTTTTTTTTTTGGGGGGGGGGGGGGGGGGGGGGGGGGGGATTTGGAGCCCCAAGCCTCGAGTAGGAGTGCTATGCTGTGGATGCCAGTCTACCAGCCAGGCCAGTATTTGTCATGTAGTTGTCAGCAAATGTTTGTTGTATTTCCATGCCGTCATTTCCATCCCACAGTGACTGTCAATCACTCCTCAGTTTACACAGCTCCAGTGCTGTGACAGCTTGTGTTCACATTGTTCTGTTTCTAGTAGCGTTGCGTGAATCCCACCTTCTTAGCAGAACTAACTCGGAGAACAGCCTTGAGTAGCAACATCTTTATCGACTGCAATGAAAGACGGAGAAACAGGCATATTTTTTCAAAGGTGGGAGTGAAATCAATAAATGTGCTTTTCTTCTAAAGAGGCAGCATAACAAAATGAAACAAAGCGTACCAGTCAGATTATCAGGGAGACTACAAAGTGCTTTGTGTTCAGCTGCAGTTCTACTTTTTTTTTTATTTTATGAGATCATTCTTTTCAAAATTTTATATAAAGGTTTCTAATTTCTCCGGCAGTCGGGTTCTGCAACACCGTGTTACCGAAACAACAACATTCAAATGAAAATGCGCTTGAGTCCCTGCTTAGTGTTCAACTTTGAATTGGACAGACAGTCAGCAGACATGATTCGCTCCCACCATGTTCTCTCTCACCCACGCTCACATTTGCCATCCAAGAGTGAAAAGTGTTAAGCGCAAGAACAACAGATGCTCAGAACCTCGATATTGATATTATTGTTTATGTTAGTGTTTGTTCCCCTTTAGGCTCCAGTGGTTTCTATTTTAATGAGAGCACACACAGTCTTGACCGGTCGGTTTTCTCGTCTGACTCATTTCTTTATTCTTGTGTGTGTGTGTGTGTGTGTGTGTGTGTGTGTGTATATAGAGTCAGTAGGCCTGCGCAGTAAGCTCCTGAGGAAGGTGGAGGAGCTGAAGAGTGATTCAGTGTGTTCAGGCATTCCTGATGAGTTCTTGTGTCCGATCACCAGAGAGCTGATGAGGGAACCAGTCATTGCTGCCGGTAAGTGAAGATCAGATCTTTTTCCACTTAATACGATTTACATGTAATGACGCCACAGAGTCAACTCGTGAGACTCCAAACTTCATGTGTTTCTTCATTGTGAAACGATTTGCTTGTGTGCTTTGAATAAACTGTGGACATTTGCCAACAGATGGATACTCGTATGAGAGAGAGGCCATCGATAGCTGGATCAAGACTAAGAACCGCTCCAGCCCCATGACCAACCTCCCTTTACTGACGACTCTGCTCACCCCTAATCGCACCCTGAAGATGGCTATTGGCCGCTGGAAGACCAACCACTAGCATCTAAAAAGACCTTTGACCCACAGTGCCCCCAAATATTTCCCTAAAGTAGACAGAAACCACAGCATTTCAGGGATGGGTGCAAATGATTTGGTTCCAAATGAGGCATGTGCCCACTGTGGCAGCGTCTTTGTTTGCATTCATTTGTAAAGCTGCTATTTCAAACCACTGGGGAGCAGAATTGTAGCAACAAGTCAAAATGTACTTTCAGTTTATTACGTTTTAATGGCCATAACGTTTCATGAAGTGGATACAGAGCGATATGAGCATCCCAGGGGAGTGCTACCTTAAGCCACCTGAAGAACGCTACTTTAAAGCGGCTATAATCATAATGATTATAATAACAAAGTTTTACAGCAAGTTTAAAGGTAATTTTTGCTTTCTGGTCTGCACATTTACTGTTTCGGTTCACTCTCTCATAATGTTCAGCGAAACTGAAGAGCATTGTTTTGTCAGTTTGAGAGCCAGATATTTCAGAGCTAAATGAGAGTGACTATTAGATTCATCAGGTGGCTACATGCACGTCTGGATGTGTTAATAAGTTTATATCAACTTATCAACTATATCAAAAGTGATGATATGTCAATGCCTCCATCAATCAGCTATTAGGGTGAGTGGTTTGTCTTGGCTGATAATGACCAGTTTACTGGTTTGTTAATCAATATAAAAACAGGAGTTCTGTATAGAAACCACATAATAACAAAAAGGTAAACACTGTAGGCTCCTGATTTATGAAAAGATAAATAAAAACAAAGTCTAACATCTTGATAAGCCTTACCTTAAACAGGCAAATTAGTTTATCTTAAAATTTGTTGTATTTAGAAATATATGTATTTACAAAGATATTTCTATAGCTTTAAAATGACACAAAAGAAACATTGATTTGGAGGCCTTATATTAATTGTTACCTTTCTTTGATTGAATAACCAGAAAACAATGAGCTGTGAGCTGAAAGCTACATACTGAGGTGTTCATTTGCAGTTGGTCCAGGAACACCAATTAAAAATGAGTAATGTTGGTTACCTAACTTAAAACACTATTTGCACTAACTGCAGGTAAGCATTACATATATGTGCTCCTTAGACTGTCATTGCAGGACCTTTGCTTGTTACAAGCCCTGTGGGACCGGTGCGTGGCCAAAGTAGTTTAGCGTTTAACTCTCCTTTGCAAGCTAACATTCAGCATTTAATGAAATGAATGACATCAATGAAGATATTTCCGCCATACTGAGAATTTGCAACGTCCACATTTTTATCCAAGCGGTTTATTTTGACGGCGTGATTAATTGTCTGTTTAGATGAGTTAGGTTGTACAAGAAACCTTTTATCCATCCGTACACACTCTGAAGCGTAGGCAACATTTTATGGATCACACTGTGAAAAAAGTAGATGTAGAAATGTAGTCCTCCATTGATACTTTATTTGACCACAATAATAATGTGGTAACATTTTGTAATCCATAGATGACTCTAAAAAGGGCATATGACAACTATGGACATACAGCGGTGTACAAAGTCTCTTAAGAATTTCTTTCCTCGATTGTTGCACGTGTAAATGCTCTCTCTCTCTCTCTCTCTCTCTCTGTATCCCAATAAACCAATAAACACGTTTTATGAATATGCTCTCTGCTATGCAAAAATAAATAACATACTGTGAATCTTGAAGCAATCAATTCAATATTAAATTATGACAAGAACAACTGTCCAGCTCCTTTTTTATATCAAATGTACCAAGAAAAAGAATCTCAAGCACACAAAGCAGTTTCTTTTGAAGCCTGTAATGCTGACAGATAACCACCTACAGGGAAATATATAATCTGCAAATATAGTGTAGACCGTACAAATATAAATGTTTTTTAAAAGACACTTGATGATAGAAATGGTCATATCCAGCAACTAATAGCATGAGTTTTGAATTTTTTTTTTTTATATATATATATATATTTTTTTTTTTCCGTGCACAAAGCTTTCTCTGACTTTTATATTTGTTATAATAAATTCAAAGTTGAGACAATATATTACTTTTTTTTTAAATCCCTACTTAAGGTATGTCTGGTTTTTCTTGAATACACTAGTGTAGCTGTAGACACGTAAGCAGAAGCATAGTAGCCTGAGTTGAACACTGGTTCTAGATTGTAAATGCAGTGCAGCAGCATAACTCTACAAAACAGGCTCAGGGAAGGGAGCTGTTCTCAAAGCAGTCTCCCTTGCTACCTTATTTGGGACGTGGTTTGTTGAAAACAGCCTGTGTCTGTGCTTTGATAATCAGACGTTGGACTCTATAAACGAGCGCTTGGGCTTGATGGGAGCCATATGCAGAGCAGGGTTGTCTCTCGTTAAGCTCGCCTGTCTGTGCCGCCCGTCTGGGAAGCGTAGCTGGGAGGACGCCGTGCCTCTGGCCTCTCGCTGGTGGAGCCGCTCTCCAAACTCCCGAGCTTGCTGCTGGCTGTTTGCCTGACCTCCAGAGAGCTGCTCCTGGAATGAAGCGCGTTTGAACTCATTGTTCAACCCCTGAAACTCCATTACTGACATACTGAAACTCTCCAGCCCCCCTCCCTGCCCCTGTCGGCTCAGGCCAGAGGTCTGCTGGCCTTGGACTCGCACCGATTTGTCCATCACTCCCATGAAAGGCCGGGGCTTTAGCTCCGGCTTTGTCTTGAAGCTACCGCTGCTCTTGATGGGGCACGGGGCGTCCGGCACCTGCTGCCTGCCGCCGTCCGACACCTGCTGCCTGCCGCCGTCCGACAGGTTCCCGCTGGAGGCCTGACTGGAGCTGGAGCCCCTTGAGCCCGCTGTCCCTCCTCCTCCACCGCCCTCCCTTCTGACCTCCATACCAGAGCCCAGAGCGAGAGCCAGGCCATCCAGAGCCACAGAGTGGGTGGAGAGTCTGTCAGAGCCCCTGGAGAAGCTGGAGGAGCGTGGTTGGTACATGTGGAGAGGCCCAGGTGGGGAGGAGGTGTTGGGGGACATGGGGTGATAGAGCTCAGTGGGACTGTGTCCAGAGTGTTCGTTGGCTAATCCATGGCCGATGTCAATACCAAGCAGCGGTGCAGGCCTCAGGGAGGTGGAGATATGTCTGCCGGGCAGAGGGCTGGAGGGGCCGCACAGAGAGAGAGGCCTGCCCCCAACTCTGCTCCCTGACTGGAGGGAGTGGCAGTGCTGATGAGTCCTGCTGAGTCCCTGGTTCTGGGTCTGCCTGTTGATCGCAGGAACAGGCTCGGGCAAGTCCACAAAAAGTTGGTTCTGCACATATTCCTCTTGAGGGTAACATTGGTCTGCTAAGACAAAGGCCGCACCTCCAGGGAGAGTCCTGTTTGGAGCGTACGGATTCATGGGCCAAAATTCTGGACTTTTCCCACACTGCAGGCTCGCTTCCTCTCCCTCTTCCTCCTCCTTCTCTGCATCGGTCTGCTCCGCGGGGACTTGTCTCTCTAGACTTCCCTGTGAATAGCTGTCTGCCTCCTCCTCTGTGGCCTGATGGTGGTGGGAGTGGGGGTCCCTGTTGTAACCCTGTGCCATGTTGTTGCTGGATGCCTTCTGATGATGTTTGCATTCCTCCTCTACCCGAACCAGCAGGCGCCGGATCTCCCGGTTGGACGGGGAGAGTCGTGCTGCTTCGTGGAGGTCTGCCAGTGCTGCAGCAAACTGCCTGGGGAGGACAGAGAAAATGAACAAAGGAACTTTAAAAAATACTTCATTTACAGAGACGTAGCATCCCAGGGAATTGCTGATTCTCGCAAGAATTACTTTCCATTGAGCAAAATGATACTGTTTGAAATAATAGCATATTCAATATGGTTGTACCTGCTACTCCTCTTGGCACGTGCTCGGGCATAAAAGGCTTCATAAGACCTGGGTTTGAGTTCCAGGGCTTTTGTTGCAAACTCCTCAGCTATCCCAAAATCCTGTGTTTTCAGATAGAAAAAGTGCATTTAGTATTTGAATTTCAATTCAAGTATTAGATGCAGCACGATATCAAACAAACCCAAAGTATGATAAGCTGTGTTTTTTTTAGTGGCTACATCTACATCTACATCTGAGGCCATTCCAATAAACATAGTGTTTGTGTTTGCAAAAGATCGAAGCCCGTTTTAATGAAACAGAAGTCTCGCTGCAATCATTTTTATTGACCAGGAGCAGAAAGAGAAACAGACGGAGAGCTGCTTGTTTTTCTACCGGCTCGTTACTGCTCTCATCATCACTCTCAGGTGAATTTTTAATGACACGAGCACATTGTGATTCTGTCCTTGAGAGTGAGGTCAAAATGGCAGCCTTGAATGTGGGATTGTGAACATTGCTGCTGAATGTTTAATGATGGTATCATGTAGTCTCTCTGCTGGCCCCTTACTGCCTGCATTCTGATATAATATGAGGATTTAGCCGGCCCACTCGCACATCCACTGTAAATAACAGGGAAAGAGAGTGCGCTAGCTGGTCTGCCAGGGAGAGTGACCTTATCACATCGCATTATCTGCTCCATTATTCATCGGCCACAGTGACCCTAAGGATGGCATTTTTACACAGTCTGTTAGGACGTCTGTCATCGCCGGGGTGGGTTCCCAACCTGGCTGCAGGCCACACACATCTATCTCCACACTAACAGCACGCAGTTATTCATTATGTCACCACCTGCTTCCAGGTCTTACACGTACATTCTGTTTACCAGGGAGACCTGAAATTAGAGCTGAAAAGCGGAGGTATTTTTACAGTGAGCCATACCGGTGCTGACATTATCTTTTAATGTTGATACAAATAAATTATATATCTTAAGGAACCATCTAACTTGCCTTGCCAGCCCTCCTGCCATCCCCTCAGCTTCTAATAAACCTGCCGGTGTTAAATAGTGCATGAGCAGTTCGTTACGGCTGTGGGCCTTACATTGGATTTCCTGCGGCAGCGGGAAAGGTTTAGATAGAGGGAGACCCGCAGGTCTTTGAACCCTTTCAGCTCCTCTCCTTGCCCCTCACGCGGTAGCTTCCTCAGGGCATACTGATAACGCTGGCCTGCCTCCTTCATTCGTCCCTTCTTGGAAACACACAGGAAGAGGGGGAGAAAGAATCGGACGGAGAGGAGAGGAGAAGACAATTTCTGACAACCAATCCACAAAACACCTCGTTTGAAGTCCATTCAAATAAAAGGCTGCAGGGTCTGCCGCATCCTCACCAACACACGGTCTACAACATTGCCCATAACATACCTTGTAAAGCATGTTCCCCTCCTCCATCAGCTTCTGCAGCAGGATGAGGAGAATGTCTGGTTTGGAAGAAGCCATAGCCCACGTAGCGTGACCTAATGGAGGGGTAAAAAATATTTATCTTTCTATTATCTGTCTCGCCTGGTCTCTTTTACTTCGTGCCTTGCATAATTCATGTACCTGATCGATCGTGCGGAGCCGTTTTGTAGCCTTTCGGTTGATGAAGCAGAGCGACCGAGGATGGACAAAAGACAGAGGTGAAGAGGGGGTTAGAGAAGTGGATGTGAAACAGCAGAATAGAGAGGAACAAAATACTACATGGAAGTTAAATAGGCAAATATAAACGAAGAGCGTGCAGGAGCTAAAATATAGCACATCAAACAAATCTATCATAGTCTTCATTGATTGGGTGAAGTCAGATACAAATATAAATACACTGAGTTTAGCCAGAGAGGTGCTGATTCAGCTTCATGCTCATTTTAGAGGCCGTAGCGCAGTTAAAGGAGCTGTTTAACTGTGTCGTAAAATATTGAATGGTTTCTGGAACATTTTGTGTTGACGATAGAATTCCTGGAGGTGGGATTTACTGTAGGGCTGTTATGGTAAGCATGGTGTTTATACCCATCTTGGATCCTTTCTTAAGCAGCGAGGCCACCAGAGCCGGGTTCTGGCAGCCAGTCGGCCGGTCTGAACCTCTGGTACTGTTGTTGTCGCCTCTCTCCAGCACCGCTCCAAGTTCCACCAGGCAATGCACCTGGCCGTGCACAGAACAATAACAACATTTTATCAGGCCCTTCAAATCTAAGATTCTAGCAATGAAAAGATTGTTCGGTATTTCAATAGTTTGGTTGATTACACTCATTATGCATCACTGCATTAGCGACAAAACTGTCTGCAACTCTATACCCTGATGATTTAGAAAAACAAAACGTCTGATCAGATAGTTTTGATTACTCTCCTGCTGATCGTTAGATTACATGAATGAGAGAGTCAAAATGCTCACAAGGAAATTAGTTTTTTGAACTCCACATGAACTGTGATTGCAAATTGACGTCCTGTTTTGCAGGGGAAATTATTATCATCTTAATTAATTTAGAATTCATTTAATTTGTCTAAAATAGCTATGTTTTTGCGAGTGTGGACCATTATGTATTGCTAATCATCCTTTAACACTTTTTATGCTTTGCAACGTATTGTCAGGTACACACTTCTTCACCAAGGTCTGAAAATTGCATCCCTACCGCAGTGAGAGAAGAAAATGCATCCTTTGGTTGTGAAATATTTACAAGTAAATGCAAATACAAGTATTTCAAATAAAGACAGACCCATTATCAACATGACGTCATCCAAACAACAACATGAAACCCACTGTATCTGCATCCCCAGCGAGGGCAGCGAGGTCAAGAGGAGTCCTTCCCTGTCTGTCCGGTTGGTTCAGGTCTGCGCCGGCCTCTGCCAGAAGCTGCACCACATCTTTCTGGCCCTTCAGACAAGCCCAGCTAAGTGCAGTCAGCCCCTCCTGATCAGCAGAGGACAGAGAGGCACCTGGGACCACAGAGAGAGCAAATATTGTTCATATACAGTCATTCAAATATATTATATTATTTTAGTTTGGAAGGTAGGGACTCGCACCCTTTGTCAGCAGGAGTTCAACAGTGCTCACGTGGCCCTCGGAGGCTGCCAGCATCAGTGCAGTGCGACCCTGCTTCTCACTGACGTTGATATCTGCGTCTTGCTTCAGCAGCAACTCTACGATCTGGAGCAGGACAGAAAAAGTGTTATGGGGGGAAAAAAAGGCAGAACTGGTGAAATGACGAACATCCGGTGCCAGTGACCAGACTCCGCCTCACCTGTGTGTGCCCGTGCTTGGTGGCAGTAAGCAGCGGGGCCATCCCCCTGCGGTTGGGTATCTCCAGCCCTGCCCCCCGCTCCAGCAGGAACGCGCACACCTCCGTCCTCCCTCTTCCTGCTGCCGCGCTCAGCACTGACAGAGGGTCGGCATAGAGATGAGACAACGAGGCGGAGATGAATATGTAATTGACACATTTCGGCAGAAGCAGGGATGAGCGACAGAGAGGGAAACAGGGTTGGCTATTTACATAATGTGTTTGATTCTAACACAGGTGTTGTATTTTTCTGTTTTAATACAAATCTACAGTAACAAGTACTAGAGATCAAAATTGCTCAAAGACAGCTGCACACTCTTTCTTGTTCCTCCTCTTCAACAACAAAAGCAAACAATGTCTCCAACCATACCTCTACACACTAGTTAACTTGGACCCTCGTTAACCAGCCAGTGCTACTTTGACAAACGGTGGGTATTTTTTAGTACGCGAGTCCTTCAGCTAATTGAGCAGCTGGGGATAGAAGCAAGGTATTGATGCCATTCTCTAACCTACAAGTACCCTTGATGAATGACACCATGTTTCATATGACCACATGCTTCAGTGAACAAATCGATTGTATATCACCGCCTTTAAAGATAAGTTATTGTCATATATGAGACAAAGAAAAAAAGACACGTCTATTTTTCTTCGTTTAAGGTGACTTTGTGCAGCTGCACCAATAGTAACAGGGTTAGTGAAGCTGCTGCTTTAAATACGCAAACTGAACCAGCGAATATTATATTCCTTATATAGAGAATATTCAAAAGATGCAATACTGTCTTGGATGATTGTAATCCATGAAGAAGTGCAAATCCCTGGGTAAGTAATCAGACTTGTATCCTCGACTGATAATTTTATCCGCGCACATGGACTGTAATCAAAGGATTCTAACACTGAACAGAAACCTAAAACGACGCCCTAGCACATGAAAACGTGAATGTTTCAGAGGGTATTTCATGCTCTCACGTTTTCTATCGCAGCACTGGAGGGGACTGTGTAATAGAATTATACTCTAATGGTGCTGTAGTCAGAGATGCAGGCTTCATCCGACAAGCTTTCAGGAAATGAACCTAACACAATTCTGCAGGCTGCACTATCGCGTCTGTGATAGAGGTAAAAGTATTACAATTGAATAAAAGTGCTTTTTAGATGCTAAAAATGTGGCTGGACAAGATATTAGGTGATAAATGTGATGCTCTATTTTAGCCAATAACAAAAAAAAGTATTTACAATTGAACCATTTTTTTGATGTCAACCAGAGAATTCTAAAATCACAATACTAAAAAAATTAAGCTGAGATCCTGCAGCTCCATTCAAAGAGCTCATTGTGCATCCATATCAAGTTCAGTTAGCTATTTCATATTTATTTATTGCACAGAATGCTAGCCTGTGCCTAAAATGCAAGCCTAAAGCATCCTTGAGCATGACTCCAGATCCACACTGATGGACAGAAAAAGGCAAGAAAGCTAAATTTATCTGACTGATAGGAGAAATGCACCCGTTTCTCCCCAGAGAGAGTCGTGAGCGTCCATCTGCACTGCCAGCTGTTCATCTTTCAAGTCCAGCAAGCTCTTCACCACCTGCAGAAAAACACAATTTAACAGTCCTCTGTATTGCTGGCTTGCTGTGCGGAAAGTAAACCAAAGCACTCACAGACCTTGACCACAGCAAAGCGCATCTAATAAATCCTCTATGTCAAGCAAGGACAGGCGCCGTGCTCTACATAAAAAACGAATTTCAGCAGAGTGTTTTGTCAAGAGGACCTTGATCTGATACGTACCTGTGTGTGTCCCACACTAGCTGTGGCTGTAAGTGCCTGCTGTGCTGCCTGTGCTTTCCCAGTCACAGTCTCATTGCTGTGGTGCTGCTGTGGGTCAGTGGGGATCTCTGCTCCCCAATCTTGGCCCAGCAAGATGTTGATGATTTCAGCATGGCCTTTCAGAGCAGCATGGACCAGCGCACACTGGCTACTCTTATCAGCATGGCCCACCTGGCATAAAGGGGAACACAGGACAAGACTTACAACACTGGTCCTGGCCGGTACGCTGGCCTAGATCAGGCCTGTTTATGTCATCTGTCTCCCAGAATAGATCCTGAGACTGCAGTGGCTATAAAACCAGGACTGTTCAGGATACCGCCGGTGTAAAGTAACTGAGAGACAGAGTATTCTGTCACAGATGAAAATCGTATTTATCCACGGTAATCGTGCCGGTCACGCCCTCCAGACCCACGTGTGTGTCTCCTCCTCTTTGCCTGTGACACTGACCTTGGCCCCTTTCTTGCAGAGCAGGCTGACGATGTCGATGTGTCCTGCGGCGGCGGCCAGACAGAGGGGCGTCATGCCGCTGTCAGTGGTCCTATCTACGGGTGAACCCATTTCTAGCAGCAGGGCTACCATCTCCACATGCCCCAAGTGTGCGTGGACGGCCAGAATGGGGGCATGTCCTACCACCTCTGTACACCAGGTCACACTAGCTCCACCCAGCATCAACAGACGACTTACCTGCAGGATGAAAAAAAAAAAAAGAATAGTGCATCTCCGTATATCAGATATATTTGGGTACTTTTTTCGAAATTTAGAGCACACGTATGTCACCTTGATGTTAGGCGTGTATAGGTTCCTCAAGGAGGCCAGTGCAGCGGACAGACTGTCTGTGCTGCAGTTCACCCACATTGCCTGAAGAACGCTGGAGGACACACCTGTCTTCTTACTCAGACCCTGTGAGTGTGTGAAAGAGACACAGATAGAGAGGGAGCGATAGAGGCAGAGAGAGATCAAGCTTGCTCAGATGAGATCTGTGGTGCAGAATTTGAATTGTGTCCCAGGAGTAAAGCAGTATGCACAAAGTGCAAGCCATGCATGCAAACAGAACAATATTCACTGTGCCATGGGGGTTTTATAGATCTGAGCAGTGCTAATGTGTGTGGGTTGTGGTAGGGACAGAGGTTCACTCTTGTTTGCCTGTGTCTTAGTGTGTCTCTGTGCAAAAGCACACAGTAAAGTGCAGGATCTTGTTTACGTGAATCCTTTGGGAATCGATGTGATTCAGACGGGTTGAGGTACAATCACTTATAAACTACATAACTAGTTATATACACAGCATCCCAGTTCCTTTTACCTTGAATATGTGAGCCTTGAGGATGTGGTGTCCCAGTTCCATAGTCTGCTGCCGGTTCAACTTGCCCTCCTGTCTGGAGAACATGAAGGCCAGGAGAGCGTGGCCACTCCTGGAGACATATAGTATTCATTTATTTTTTGACAAGAATTTACACACTTTTCTTCGAGGTGTATTCACAACTGACTTAAAGTAAATGCATCTCAAGAATCTTCTGATGACCTTTGACTCTAAGTCTCACCTTGGCTCACAGATAAAGTCACTGCTCTCTCCATCTGCTCTCCAAACCAGCCACTCTCTGAAGGAGGGATGACACAGCATCCGTGTGCCATCCCTGCGTCTCACCTACGAGCACAAATGATACAGAAAACATCTTAAAATGTGATCATCATATATACTGTTAGTCCTCCTAAACTATCTCTAAATCCCTAGAAGTAAGAGGAAAATGTATGTACTTCATAGCAAAACAAAACACAACATTCAAACCTTTGAAACTAAATCTTGAATCATTATCTGCTGTTCCATGCAGTCATATCAAGAGTCTTACCATGAATCCAGCCAGGCTGTCTAATCTCAGCAGGAAGTCCTTCCACTCCAGCTCCCCCCTCACACTGCCTGCATTCAGCGCCCTGAACATTTGTTCATCAGTCAGTGGGTGCAGAGACGCCAGTGCCACATTGAGCACCGGAAGCACCCGTTCAAAGGCCTCTTTATCCGGAAGACTCACGCGACACATCAGCAGGTACACCTAAAAGATGGTCATGAGGTTAATGATGTGCGTGGGCGGTCGTGGTTGCCTGGTATAATCTTACAATATCCGGTCTAATTAAACTGTCCACAAGCTTCCAATATTCCAGAACGACTTGAGTTGATCTCCTAGACTCAGGTATCGTGGAACTTGGATCTTTTAGGGTATTAGCAGCATTGTTGGATGCTCATGTGCAACATCCTGAAGGTAAACACGTACATTATAGCAATATAGCGATATAGCTTTTATAGCAAAAGCAGTTCAAGAGCTGAATGTGCAGTATACACGTCTTGTTGAAAATCATTGGTGCAAGCATTCCTGACACGTCATAATAGGTCTGGTGAATTGCGATAGTTCATCTTTGCAACTACATTAAATAGTTAATTCTACTAATTTATCGATATAATTATTATATCAAGCTGTCGTATTTAACTGTAACTGCCCACTACCCGGGCCTACACATCTTTAGCACACCTTTATGCATGTTTTTTCACATCCATTATCCAATCATTAAATCATCACATTTCTAGGCCTTTGTGTGTACAACAACACTTGCTCATCTGTTGTCCTATTTTACGCTGATGATTATGTAATATTAAAATGCGCCTGTCATTTACTGTAGTCATTGTGGACTATTTCTGGCTCTTTGATTAAGCCTTTGATCCTGTCATTTTCTATCTATTTATTGATCTGAATAGCGCGTGAGTACAAATTGTCTCGTTTTTTGAGGACAACATATCTGAACAATTGCTGTCACCTGGGTACCTTGTGTGGGGATTTTATGGGCATTGATTGCTTCAGCCTCAGGCGAGATGCCATTTCACGGCAGACAGCTCACCGGGATGACTGACAAGTGTTAAGTGTTAGACTGTGAACTTGACCAAGTGAGGAAGAGGAGGAGGAGAAGGGGGGCTGAGTCCAAAAATACACTTCGGGTAAAATGTGTCGTTTTAGCTCTCGAGGATACAACACTGTAGTTTACAAAGTAAGTGAACTGAAAACTCAATGAAACACACATTCTCCACATCTGTGGTTCAACAACGTAGCATTACGTTTAGCAAACATGAACTATTTCAAGTTGGATACAAATACCCCTTGCATGTTGGTAATCAATGCTCTACATATCTGACCTCTGACAGGGACACAGGCACCACCAGGTAGTTTCCTCCTTTCAGAGCCAGGTGCCCCTTGTGGAACAGATCCAGGGTCAGCTGAAGGTAGAGGATGGAGCCATGGCTCCGTGTTGACAGATGGCTGCTGAACTTGCTGAGAAGCAGCTGATCAGGGGCCGAGCCTGTCGGCGTGGTGACGTTGGCGGCGACCTGGCTGCTGCTGCTGACCCGGTGATGGATGTAGTCACTCAGGTCGGCTCCAAGATCGCTGCTGTCTGGCAGGATGTCCAGAGAGATGCCAGAGAAGGGAAGGAGTGTCGTGATTTCCTGCAGGAGAAGAAAACAGATTGATTATGGGTGCTTGTTGGTTAAAACAGATACCACACACAGGCACAAACACCTCAATATTTAAGGAATAATAGGCTGCATGTCTTTGGAGCATTAGCTTAGGAGAAATTAAAAAGCACTAACACCAGGACCCAATCCTCAGATGCTGCTGCCTCTGACTCACGCAGAGCCATGGGATACAGTACAGTAAATAGTGTGACAATGACTCAAGCTCCAACGTTGCTCACAAGCATCTCTCAGAGTCACATTTCATCTCCTCTCTTGCCATCCTCAACTGCTCAACACCGGCCAAAACCAGCTATGAAAATCCATGTTGTTGCAGCTCAGTTCCTCATTAACGAAGAATGACATTTTGGTCGATGACAAGTAATTGACCTGTTGTCGTGGACTGCGCTCCACTTAACCCTTTGTCATCCGCTTGTGAAAAGTACACAGTAGCGACTGTGGCTAAGTGGATAGCAGGGCCGTCTTTCAATCAGAGGGTCACCGGTTCAATCCCGGTTCAATCCGGCTCACATGTCGATGTGTCTTAAGTGTCTTGAGCAAGACACTTAACCCCAAAAATTGCTCCCGTAGCTGTGCCTACGGTGTAGAAATGTGATAGAATCTGAATTGTAAGTCCAAAGTGTCTGCTAAATGACTGTAATGTAATATCCAGGTTGTTGTTATACAAGAGCTCCTGTGAAATGGCTGGTAAACAAGAGAATGATGATCCAATCGGGGGTACTGGGAGCTGGGGTTGATCTTGACTTTTTTGTTACTAGCCACTCAGCATTTTACTGGCCATCATTTTGTTGTTGGGAAATTACATTTGATTTGATTAAAGTTGGCTATAGCGTGGTACCACAGTAAACACCCGAACCAACACTACAGTCATCAAATATTCAGCTCTGGCAATGTTGTGGAGGTTGGGATCATAGCTGCGCTCTTCATTTTTAAATTTCAGTAGTTAATGCTTGCTGACTTCAAATGTATCATAAAGAAAATGACCCCAAATGTGTTTTGTGTATTCCCCAACACTAATACAATTATGTAACCGGCTGGCTGGCTGTCAAGCTCCAGACTCCCAGCAGACTACTAGTAGTATTACCATCCGTAATCCGGGCAGCATTTGGAGGCTTGGCTTTGGCATTGGACAGATGCGTCCGCTGTTTGGAGGGATTACCAACCGGATTGAGAAAATACATCAGACTAAAGAGATTGACGATGCCAAAAGCCGCAATGTCTATACCATGGCAGTAAAAGTACAACAATTTACACAGTGAGCTAAGACAAAAGAAGAAGGCATTGAGAATACCTCTGTGATTTGGGTAATGCGAGGTAAGGGGAAACTTAAAGCCCTTAGTGCTGCACTGGAAAATATTCATAATCTCACTCACCACCAGGCCCGTCCTGACTGTGACCACCAACTTCAGCCAGAGAGGAAATTTGGAGATTATTTTGGTGATGAAAGTGGCGATGGTGTCCCCATAGTCTGGTTTATGGAATTCTGCCTCATTAAGACTGTCAACCAATATGATGTAGTCTTCTTCAGGTAGCCTTCGTTCTGAATAAAACAAAAGATAAAGAAAAAAATGAGTTTGAAGCACATTAAAAGACCAGATATTTTAAATTAGCCTTAGAACCAAGGAGCACATGATGAGGAAACAATGACAGATGGTTTGATAGTGGTATCCGATTCCTTTCATGACTACAAATGTTTTCCAGCACAGGATATGTTGAGAAAAGCATCAACTGCTGATATTGATCATATTCTGCTAAAAGGGACCAGAGGCCATTGTTGTTTATCAGCTTGAAACAGGACATATCCATCATGTTTCACATAATATAAACTGTCAATGCATCCCTGTGAGGCTGCGACGACTCATACACTCAGGCACAAGGGCTCTCCATTTTTTTTCTAACCTGCTTAATAATGATGGAGTAGACAAAACACTCCTCTCCTCAGACTGTGGAGGGCCGGCCGTAATAACACATCAATCTAGCTGACTGACTGTATCATGAGAAACTGAGGTGACTAATATGGCCGCAACAATCACCGCCTTTCCCCGAGTATTTTGTGACCTTGAAATACGGTGGGATGCTGATGACTCACCGGGGCAAAAATAACACTCATCATTTCCCTATGTAAATGACCTAACGTCTGTTTCACACTCAACACTGTTTCAAATCATTGACCTTAACGAGGGAAAATAATCCATGGGCCAATCATGGAGTCATTAATAGGCAATTTCACACAGGAGATTGCAGTAGGCTCCTTAATTGCATGGTGAAGGACAGTTTTCCGCCTTAAAACAGATACTATTATGAAATTTTAAATATCACATTTGTCTTAATGTGTGTGTGTGTGTGTGTGTGTGTGTGTGTGTGTGTGTGTGTGTGT